TCGCAATTCGGCCAAAATGCTATTTTTTGTCATGCTTTACGTCTTGAAAGGAGGGGAGAATTTTTATAAGCCATATTGAACAAAAGATGTTCAGAAAATCGTGATAAAAATGAGAAACTTTAAATTCATTGAAGGAAAACTTAATGTCATTCTCTTTTAACGAATATCTCAGTCAAAATCACATCTCATCTTATCGAGAAATTCAACGGAAGACCTACTCGTTGCTCGCAACGAGATCTCATCTAGTTCTTATTATTTTTCTTCCTGGGAAAATTTTGTCCGCGAGTGATCTTGTAAACTATACATCCGACTTAGGTGAAACCTTTTTAGGGTCAGTAGGCATGTTATGTAGAGTTGCCCAACGAAGGTCATTTTGCGCGCACGTGCTTGCAAGAGCACGCACGTGCAACACGTTAAATGGCCAATATAATGTATACTGCCGTAACTTTTCTATTTTTTGATGAAATGCTTTGAAACTCATAATGTAAGGATATATTAGTAGTATAGACAAGACGACATGGTCAAAATACCAGAATCTCACGCGCATGCACGTGCGCTTTGCTCTGATTGGCTGAAACTAAAGTCTCAATATCTTTCTTGTTTTTTGACGAAATCCTTTGAAAGTTTGAATATAGCCCTGCATTAGGATATGCTACAACATGTTATAAAGCAATTATCATGAAAACACGTGCATGCACGTGCGCTGAAACTTTAAATAGCTATAACTCCCTTGGTTTTCAACCAAACAGGATGGGATTTGGAACATAGATATATATAATGGACTTCTACAAGAAGGTATGGTCACCATGCACATGCATACACGTGCATGCACGTGCGCTGCAATCTGATTGGCTGAAAATTTAAATAGCTATAACTCCCTTGATTTTCAACCAAACAGGATGGGATTTGGAACATAGATATATAAAATGGACTTCTACAATAAGGTATGGTCACCATGCACATGCATACACGTGCGTGTACGTGAGCTGCAATCTGATTGGCTGAAACTTTAAAAAGCTATAACTCCTTTGGTTTTCAACCAAACAGGATGGGATTTGGAACATAGATATATTAAATGGACTTCTACAAAAAGGTATGGTCAATATGCACATGCATACACGTGCGTGTACGTGAGCTGCAATCTGATTGGCTGAAACTTTAAACAGTTTTAACTCCCTTGGTTTTCAACCAAACGGGATGGGATTTCGAACATAGATAGATTTAATGAACTTCTACAAGAAGGTATGGTCACCATGCTCATGTATGCACGTGCGTGCACGTGAAATGGGTAAAATCAAAAATACACTTGAATGAGCGAATTTTTTAATACTTTTGGATTAAATACTTTAATATTTAGTATATTAAAATATATAGATTGTGTAGACAAGATGATATGGTCATTACGTATATGCCTTCACATGCGCACACATGCAATGCTAAAATTTGAATGAGCATGGTACATTTCTGGGTAAACATTGTTAAAATTTCAAATGCATAGAGTTTGTGTTAATATATGAAGCTTACAGGGAATATGGCACCAAAAGGGAGTTGGGGAGCGTTTGGGGAACATCTGTAACGGTCCCCGTTACAATTAGCACTAGTTATTCTTATTTTTCTTCCTGGGAAAATTTTGTCCGACTTAGGTAAAACCTTTTTAGGGTCAATAGGGATGTTATGTAGATTTGCCGAACGAAGGTCATTTTGCGCGCACGTGCTTGCAAGAGCGCGTACGTGCAACAAGTGAAATGACCAATATAATGGATATTGCTGTAACTTTTCTTTTTCTTGATGATTTTTTTTGAAACTCATAATGCAAGGATACATTAGTAGTATAGACAAGATGGCATGGTCAAAATAGCAAGATCTCACGCGCATGCACGTGCGCTTCGCTCTGATTGGCTGAAACTAAAGTCTCAATATCTTTCTTGTTTCTTGTCATAATCTTTTGAAATTTTGGACATAGTCCTACATTATGAAGATCTACAGCATGATATATAAAATATTTCATGAAAGCATGCGCATGCGGGCGTGCTGCAATCTGATTGGCTGAAACTTTATATGGTTATATCTCCTTTGTTTTTTGACGAAATGCTTTGAAATTTAAAACATAGTCATGCATTAAGATATCCTTAAATATGATATAGAAAAAACTCATGAAATCACGCGCATGCACGTGTACTGCAATCTGATTGGCTGAAACTTTATATGGCTATATCTCCTTTGTTTTTTGACGAAATGCTTTGAAATTTAAAACATAGTCATGCATTAAGATATCCTAAAATATGATATAGAAAAAAACTCATGAAATCACGCGCATGCAGGTGTGCTGCAATCTGATTGGCTGAAACTTTATACGGCTATATCTCCTTTGTTTTTGACGAAATGTTTGGAATTTTAAAATATAGTCATTCATTTAGATATCCTTCAATACGATAAAGATAAAAATTTATGAAATAACGCGCATGCATGTGTGCTGTAATCTGATTGGCTGAAACTTCAAATGGCTATAACTCCCTTGTTTTTCTACCAAACAGGATGGGATTTAGAACATCGATAAATAAAAGGGACTCCTACAAGAAGATGTAGTCATTATGTACGTGCTTGCACGTTAAATGAGTAAAATTAAAAATACACTCGAATGAGTGAATTTTTTAATACTTTTGGATTAAATGCTTTGATATTAAGTATATTAAAATTTGAGATATTGTAGACAAGATAATATGGTCGTTATGCACATGAACACGCGTGCAATGCCTATTTTTAAATATATTTTGTATTTTTCTGGGAAGACCTTGATTAAGTCTAACTTCCATAAAGTATTTCTTATCTAATAGAGATTACAGGAAATATGGCACAAAAAGGGAGTTGGGGAGCGTTTGGGGAACATCTGTAACGGTCCCCGTTACAATTAGCACTAGTTTACAATGCCTCCAACATAACAATCAAAAAGCGATAATAGAGTTTCATGATTAAGGGACAAACCCCTTATATTTTTTTTCAACACAAATAATGCTTTTCTACCCTAGTCAGACAACTGTTTTTCCGCCATTGCAAATTTATTATTATATTGAAAAATAATTCCAAGATATGTAAATTGTTCGACAATTTCCAAAACATGTTTACCAATGAACCATTTTTCATTAGATTTGATTTTGCCCTTATTTCTAAAAATTAAGACTTTAGATTTGTCCACATTAACACATAAATTCCAGGACTTACAATATTCAGACAATTCATTCAAAAGTGATTGCAAACCTTCAATTGTTTCAGAAAAAAGGACCATATCATCTGCATACATTAACAAAAATAAGTTCAGTGACATTAGATCATAAGAGATACAGCCAGATTTTAAAAAAAACTCATTTCAAAGTCATTCACATAGAGATTAAATAAAATTGGAGATAACACTTCTCCCTGCATCAAACCAATATTGTTACAGAAATAATCACTCAATTGGCCTTCTACCACAATGCAAGATTTCACATTATTATACAGAGCTTTTATGACCTTTAGCAATTTACCTTGGATACCCACTTTAGATAACTTTATCCACAGTTTAGATCTATCAATAGAGTCAAACGCCTTTTTGAAATCAATGAAAGCACAATACAGTCTTTTACTTTTAGATAAAGTGTTTGAAATCAATGAATGAAGAACAAATATTGCTTCACGTGTACCGCAATTAGGTTTAAAGCCAAACTGTGCATCTGTTATTATATCGTTACTTTTCGACCATTCTAATAATCTATTATTCAATATTGAAGTAAATAATTTAGCCATGTTACTAACAAGACTTATACCCCTATAATTGTCTGGGTTCTTATTGTCACCTTTTTTGAAAATAGGCACAATTACAGATGATGACCAACTTTTCGGGAAAAAACCTGTGTCTAAAATACAGTTAAAAAGTTTACTTAACAAGGGAAGTAGGTATTCCTGGAATTCAATAAAATATTCATTCAATATCCCATCTTCGCCATGCGATTTTCCTTGCTTTAAATTACTAATAGCGCTTTTAATTTCATCTTCACAAATTTCTTTATCAAGTTCTTCAAAAACACATTCACCACCTACATTTGCACCATTCGAGTTACCGATTTCTTCAATTTGAGTGATATCTTTGAAGTGCTCATAAAAAGTTTCTATTGATACTTTTGAAGTTGATTTTGTTCTTCTATTAAATATGGCAAAAAATTGTTTGGGATTATTTTTCTTCAATATGTTTAACCTATTTCCTTCTGCTTGTTTGTACAATCTTTTAAGCTTTGTTTCTTCTTTCTTGTAAATGCGTTTTTTATTAATCAAATCCGAGTGATTTTGTATATTTTTACAGTTATTGAATGTACGTAAAGCTACAATATAATCTCTATAAAGATCTTTTAAGTTTTTATCAAACCAGGGCTTATCATCTGAACTTAAGAAAGTGGAGTGTTTTGATCTTTTGCCAGAAGTTCTATGGTAATGATCAGTATTTACACGAAAAAAAACTACAGTGGACCTTCAGATATCCGGACGCCAGATATCCGGATGCTTCAGTATCCGGACGATTTTTCATCGGATCGAAATTTTAAAATGTTATTCTGTCTTGTTAAACTGGTGATTCAGATATCCGGATGCTTCACATATCCGGACAAATTGACTGGGAACCAAAGCGTCCGGATAAATGAGGGTCCACTGTACCTACATCAACATTCAACATATCAGTAATTTTTGCAATACAATTGTCTAGATAATTTTGTGTAGAAATTCCATTAAAATCCACATGACTATACATGTCGTCTAATGAATTGAAAAAGTCTTTGCATGTTTCACTATATGTTGGATCCCATTTGTAAATACTACGGGTTTTATAAACATGCGAATTAGTGTTTTCAGAAGATTCCATAGACAAAGAGCATCTCAATTCGATATGTAAAGGTGCATGGTCTGAAAATGTAGTAAAGTTACAGACAATAAATTTACTAATAGAATCAAACATGTCAGTTGTGGTCAATAAATAATCTATTGTACTAAGACCACGAGCACCATTAAAAGTAAAGTCGTTGGAATGTCCACCACTATGCCGACCGTTCACAATACGCACACCTGTGGCTTTACACAACGACAGTAACCGGTTTCCGTATTCATTGTGACCTAGATCTGGGTTGACCCTCGCAGTCAGCTGATCGTCAGTTCTGTATTGTAATGTGTTGTTCACCGATGCATGTAACTCATCATTCAAGATAAAATCAGGCAAAGATTTTGTTCTACTGTTGAAGTCACCAAATATAAAAACATCACCAACCAACATATAAAAGCTTAATAGTTTTTCTAATTCCTCAAATAAATTAATTTCATTCTCTTTGAAAAATACAGAATTGTAAGGGGGGAAATATGTAAAAGCAATGTATATATCATTATCGTGATTACAAAAATCTTTATCTATTTTTAGCCATATAATTGTATCATAAACAGCTTCAACAAAAGTAATGTATGGAATATATTCATTTCTTATAAGTATAATAGTCCCCCCACCATGCATAGTTCTAGTTTTCCTAGGAAAAATGAACGCTTTGAAATTCGGATCGTCGATTTTATAATCCTTTTCAATCCAGCATTCAGATAGGCAAATTATGTCATACGTACACAAAAAATTTCTCAAATTGTTATCTTTCCATTTATTGTCAAAACCTCCGTGTAAATTCCATCCTATGATTCGTAATACATCTTGGCTCTCCTGACCCCTCTATTTTCCCCTACCACCTCTGCCACCTCTTCTGAATCCTCTTGCACCCCCCTCTGATTAAGGATACTCGTACTCCGGCGTTTCAGATCCAGCATCAATGTATAACTCTCCATCGATGTAAAGTTTGTCTTTAACAAGGGATGCCTTTTTTTCATCTTCCTTGGCCTTCTTATAAATGGGGTACAGGCCCTTCCTCCGTTCTTGTATTTCTTTTGGGAATTGTTCACCGATCGACAGGTGTGTTCCTTTAAGTTTGAAGGCATTTTTGCGGATGAGTTCACGCTGGGGGAATCTGTTGAATTTTGCTACAATCGGGCGTGGTTTTACGTTGTTTCTTCTGCCGATTCTGTGTGCCCTTTCTATTAGAATGTCATCCTCTAGTTCTAACTTGGCAGAGCATATTCTCTTAACAATAACTTCACAGTTTTCTTGCTCCCCTTTTGGTGCCTCTTCTACTCCGTAGAATAGTAAATTGTCTCGCATTGATCTGCATTGAAGGTCAAGGATATCATTTGTGAGTCTAGCGTTCTGCTTCATGGAATTTTCTAATGCTGTTTTCAATTCAGAAAGATCATTGAGTGCTTTTGAGGTGTTTTTATCGTTAGTGTCCAGTGATTTTTAAATAAATTCTTGGCTTTTTTCTACCTCCAAGACACGAGTGTTTAGACTTTTTATATCATTTTTCAGACTTGACAGGGAACTCTCAATCGATTCTAACTTTTCAATTTTTTTGCTCATAACATCTAACTGGGAAAACATTCCTTGAACCTACTGAGGGGTAGCCGGAGGGGAAGTGTTCGATTGAAAATTTTGGAATTGTGATTGCATAGGTGTCATAGGTACTGATTGCATGGGCTGCATTGGCTGCATTGGTTGCATTGATTGTAACTGATGATACGATAGGTTACCTACTTGTTGGATGTGCTGTAATTCAAAGTCGGCACTACTGTTCTGACTGTTCTGACTGGCCGCCATTTTACCCTGTGCAAGTTTCTTTTGTTTCTTTTTCTTAGGTGGTTTAGAGGGTGAAGGCGACCCAAAATTCATATGAACCGTCTGAACCGATACTACATACACAGTACTTACACATTCACATAATATCCCAACCGAAGAGTAATGTTACTGGGAGTGAGAACACAATAAATGTCGTAAATTATCTCAGTGTAAAAAACATGTCCACCTCTGTCCATGTCACGTGATACACCAATTAATATCATCATTGTTATGAGTCATTTGCAGCTGCAGTTTGGTATCGTTTCATTTGTTTGCTGGTCTATGGGAACATTTTAAGAAAATGCATAAAGCCATACACGAAGAATATTTTAACAATTTTTTAAGGGGGGGAGGGGGGGTCTGGAAATGAGGATACTTAATGATTAACCATGGGAACTGTTGTTGTCCACCTGGTCAATAACTATAAAAAATACAAGTTTAGAGTTTTTTAGAGTGAGATTTTTGTCTCAGTGTGACAAAGGTTCTAGCACAAGAAAGCTGTAGAATTTGGCTTCATAAACTGTGGAGTAAAACAGCAATAATTAATCATTCATATGCCTTAGAATAGATATGCTGGGTTCAGCCACAAACAAGGAGCAAATTATATTAGTACAAGGCGTAAGAGTCGCACAAGGGTAAGAAGCTGTTACTACTATCTCAGAATGTCTCTAGATTCATACTGGTCCTTTATAAATGAAATTAAACTTCACAAATTGTTAAGAAAATAAATCAACCTTCTCAGATTGAGTTTGCGATAACTTCCTAGAATTGACTGGGATGCAAATTAAAGCTTGTAAATTAGCATTTAAATAGAAATATTAATAATTTCAAGCTCTAATGGACTAAATTCTCTACCCTTAAATGTCGTAATACTCTCATTACTGACATATTAAAGCATTTTATTGTCTAAAAGCATTACCCAGGGGAAACAAAATTCATTAACTAACCAGTACTTAATAAACAAAGATTACATTGGGGGAAAGTACCTTTTAAACAAGTAAAAATTAAAATAATAGAATATTTTAATTAAATACTGGGGTGGAAAGATGTACGAAAACAGTAGAAATAGAATGACAATTAAAGAAAAAAAAATAATAATGATAAAAAAAATAAAATAAAATATTTTAAATTAATTCTTTTAATTAATTTAAATGAAGGGAAATAATTCTTACAAAATCTAAGGTCATAAATTAGGACACATTCAACCCTTACATGCTAATGGTAATAAATTAGAGTTATGACGAAATAAATTGAGTATTTAACAGTAATGCATCTTTAATGTATTCAATGTCAGTGATGTCACACACCTACAACATACTCCAGACTCTATATTCTCAGATATTTAACCTAATTTCATCATTCAAAATTGTTGTACATGACCAATCCATTGTCATTTACACATAGGTATGTCCATTGCCCACCAACTTATCTGAACTATTTTGCATGTGTGAATGATGGTATAAGAAGCATTGTAGAAGGAAGTGTCAAGTAACATAAACCAACTAAAAAGCCCAGTAAAGACATATATTTGCTTGCTTATTGTCATGATTTACAACCTGTTTCAGAGTACATAATCCTCAAAGTTCAATTGCCAAAATTTAATGTAGAGTATTCTATGTTGTAGTTTTGCACCAAAACACAAAAATCAACAGATTGATCTTGAGTCTGCATCACAAAATCCCTAATTTTTTTTTATAATCATAATAACTCTCAAATGATTATATTATGCTGATTTGTATTGGATATGATAATATCTAAGGTTTGTAAGGTAACATAATTGATAAGGCACATATTTTATCATGATTGATCAAAATAAGTTTTACAAAGCAGTCTTTGGGACAGGTATACCCCAATTTTAGTAATATCAAGTTTTACCAAAATTCTTGGCAAATTTTACAAATAAAAATATATAAAGAATCATGCTATCTTGAAATGAATTATTAATGTAAATAAAGTAAATTTGTATAAAAATAAAAACAATTCTTTTTTAGCGTTAGGGCATCTAAGAATTGTGTGCATTACTCTGTGTGTCAGCATACGATGACCTTGCTTGAGTTAATCAAACTTGCAGATGGCAAATATTAAATTCCGCATGAATATAATAATATACCAAATTCCATAAGCTCAACAATCTCAAGTAAACATAACAAAGACAGGTATTAAATAATTTAAGCCAGATTCGTTTAAGTTAGGATCTACCTTAATAATCAAATATACATTTACTAGGTTTAAGGTATATTGTTACACTGATAAGAGAGATAACTCTTAATGACACAAATGTCTATTATTCCTTTATAATTTTTTTAAGTTAAAGAGCCTTTTTTGTCAAATTTTGCAAGACATGCTTTAATTGTGTGTATTTAATTCAGCATATACATTTCCTTTGGAAAATCATAAAAGTTAAAGAAAAATTTCATATTAGTAAGCAGAGGATTTATGAACCTTAACGTTAAGGGCGTAAGCTTGATATAAATTACTATTACCATTTTTCTGAGATGAAACTATTCTGTTCGAACCATGTTTTTGGTCAACATTCTTACAATTCTTGTTTTTGTTTTAGCTGAGTTAAATTGCCCTGTTGACAAGATGCAATATAAATCTAAAAGATACAGTTCCTTTAATTGAAGATTTATATGAGAGGTTGAATGGGACGATCGGTTCAACTCCCTTTTAACAGAAATTGCGGGTGGGTTTAGACAGTATTGAATAGTTTATAAAATATATTTGTCATTTTTGTAGGATACATATTAATTCTCGCCCACTACAATTAAGGTAGCAAATACTACCATTTCCCATCAGAATGCAACAGGGGAGGACGAGGTTACGAGTATTATTATAATTTTGAAAATTGCTGTCTTTCAAAAGCTTACATTAATAAATGTATTACCATGTGTTCACCTATTTTTACACTCTTTTCTGGTATTCTAATTTTTTCCCTATTACTTATCGATAGTTGGTTCATAAATTTTGAAGTACTAAAGAATGGTTTGAATTTATATAGATAGGTATATAAAGGGATCGGTTGGGGGTGGCGGATTAGGACACACATTGTTAATGTTAAAAGTTGTTAAAAGTAGCTTAGTACCTTAAGCTAAGAGGTCACAGTATCTTTTCCTTGTCCAATTTTGTATGACATTTGGGTTTGTTTCAGTACAGAATCCTTTAAGAGTAAAGACAACTATAAGCAACACTTGCAAAGATAGTTATATTTTTTCTAAGTTCTATATTACTTTATCACGCAAGGAAACTTGGTAAGATGTGTTTTAATGATTTAAAAGCCATATAAAGAGTGACAGCCTTTTAGGTAAATTATACAAGTAACCAATGGAGAAATACAGTGTCGGTAAGTATCAACAATGTTAGAGAAAATAGGCCTTGTTTTATACGGACAAGTCCTTGGTCCGTTTGTAAAACTTGTGTAATCACTTATTCTGAAAATTTTTATTGGTGAATGAGCAGGCCCTGGTCGACGGTGACCATTTGCGTTGAGGTATTGCCGCCGTCACCTTGGTTCTTGGCACCCCATTGGTGGCGGTTGCAGTTCCATGATTACTCGTAGTAGACACGAGTAGTCATGGCCCTTGCAAGTGGCGTATTCCGTCGCACCTCAACGCAATTGGACGAGTGCAACACATATTCTCAGGCTCATTCCATTGTTTATTGACTTGATTGATATTTGAATTGATTGATTGATTAATAATTGATTGATTGACAAGTAATTGACTTGATTGATATTTGAATTGATTGATTGACTGATTGATTAATAATTGATTGATTGAATTTGATTGATTATTGCATTGGTGACGTTCATGCATTTGTAACCTACCCAGTGCATGATCCGCCCGATTTGGGTCGTCACATTTGTTGTATTGATTGTTGATTGTGGGGCAGCTCTGTGGTAGCCCCAGCAAATTGATCACCGCGGCCAGAAGCGCCACATTAAACAAGCAAAATAACATCCATATTGTTTGTTTGATTTATAGGGAATCTGAAATAATCCATTATTTTGCAAGATTTGGGAAACTTATAAGGATACTTTTCGTCTCTGTAGGAGGAAATGTGTTTAGGTTTCAAATTCTTTTAGCATTAAAGTATTTTACAACAAAAATATGGGATAACATGCACCGATGATTCAATGTTTACATGATTGATGTAAATACTGAGAATGCTGGGGCGGATCTCATATACATGTACGAAAACGATTTCCTTTCCAATATTTTGATAAAATACCCGTGCCTTACACATTACTTCAATTTTGTCTATACCAGTAAATCAAATATTTGCACTTTTTCACCCATATTACATTATTTAGAAAATTACTTGTCTATATAAGCGCCGTCTATACATGCATGCATATAGGAAATCAATAGATCAGAGACATTTATTACCGTCTTCCTTGAAAGACGGTGTTGTATAGTTGAAGTTTTTTACAGTCTTCGGACTATGCACTTCCTCTCTTTTGTGTTTGGTAGAAATTGCATGATGAGAAAATTTTCAATTATTTCATTGGTTGAAATGCTGTTCAAGGCAAGGGAGATAACTTTCTGATGATCTATTTTTCGTACGACTTAACAATTTTGCAAGATTTCCAATCTTAAAAAAAAATGACAAAACGAACAACAAAATCAGCAGTAATTATTTCTTAATAGCATTATATTTTTATAGCAATAAATAAAAAGGTCTCTTTA